CCCCCCACAAAAAAAAGGGAACCATGGTAAGGGCACCTTAATAATACACTAGAAACCGTAGAAAGTCGATGAAGTCATCAGCAATTGTTATCTACTTCTTTTTCTGTCTCTCCTAGGTTTAGTCTCTCTCTCCGCAATGTTAATACTCTTCTATATGGCTCAGCCCAAGAAATTTAGTTACTCGAGTGTACAACCTTGTCACATTTTCAAACTTCTTAAGGTCACTAACAGTAAGGGGATGGGTTCAAAAGTAAATTCTTTGTAATCTCCATGCCATCCATTTCCGGGTGGACCAGACTAAAGCTATACGCTATACCCGACAAACAATATGTCAAAATGGGCCAAATTGAAAAATGCAGTCAATTTAACTTTTATGAGCAGTGAAGAATATCTAAAGAGAAGTTAAACACATAAGGTTAATAGTTCTAACTATTTCAATATAAAGCTAGATCTTAGAGACTTACAGCAACCACAACAGGTATACACGTCACTTTTGATTGGCCCTGAAAATAAACCAATTGTGCTGCAAAAACAAGAGAGCAGTTAGTCACGAAGCAAATTAATTGAGTCGATAAGAGGATATTAGTAGCGAGAAAGAAACAGAATAAGAAGTTGAAAGAATATGATCACCTATGCTAAAGAAAAAGTGTTTCAGAGTACATAACACAGAACTTCTTATTATGAACAGTATCAAATAACTAATCACAAATATTGACAGGAAAAGGACGGTAATCAATCAAATGTAGGGGTCAATTACCCATACATAAAATTATTAAGCAACACTCAAGTTAATAGAAATTTGAACATAGAAAATGGTGAGAAGATAAATATTCACTAAAAACATTGGCAGGAAAAGAAAAGAATGAATCAGCTGAAGGGGTCAATGATCCCCAGGTGAGAACTTGCATAGGAAGATTAGAATAAAGAGAAAGTTGAACATGAGAACATGACTATGCAAAAAGCATTGACGGAAAAAGAAGGGATAAATCAGCTGAAGGGGTTGAAGATGTCTAGGTGAAACTATATAGCAAGATTAGACACTAAACAGAAAGCTGAACCACATTGTAGAAGCATTGCACTTTCAAAGATCACAGCTATAAGTCAAGCTACTTGGAGCATATCACATGCATATGTCCATAGAATAAGTAAGGCGACAAGCTTCAGCTACCACTTACGTTCAGTACAACCAAAAAGATAGACTTTCTTTCCATGCAATTCTCCGCCTTCTTCAAATGCATCCTATCAGAAAACACACAAGACCTTTGAGTTATCTGGTCTCTTTTTGTTTGAATACTTTGCATGCAGAAACATAAGGCAGATAATGCACTTTCTTAATACAAAATTTTGTTGAATCAAAAAACGAACTGAAAATAACCAACTCACTTCGAGATTCGAGAAATTCCATTTGTATTGGTAAACCATGTCTATCTGATCCCACTGGCACCAAGGAAAAGAATAAATTCAAATTTCAGAAATTATAAGCAAGAAATTAAGTACCATAAACCAGAAAGCCATGCCAATGAATAATCCGAAAGCCGTTTTCAAAAAAATGAATAAACAGAAAACAATCAAATTCTAACCTCTGTGCCAACAGGAAAAACCTCTTGCCATAGATCTTCCTGCAAAATATACCAATTGAAACTGTAAGGAAGCAGGCAAAAGTATTATTAACTGTCTACAAGAGCAAGGAGGAAACTGCAAATCTTCTACAACAAAAGTTTAAACGAGTACAACTGCAACTATGAAGCTAAGCACAACATACTATCATCAAACCACTTAGCAATTCAAAGAAACATACCTACCCTATATTTTTAAAGGGAACAACAAGATTTCAGAAGAAGAAGGGAAAAAAAAAGGACAGCCCGATAGACTAAGCTCCTACTAAGTGATGTGGGCAGAGTCCGACAAAAGGCCAGACCACATTCAGTCTATCTTACTTGAGCCCGTGACATCTTGGTCACACGGCGGCAACATTTACTGTTGCGCCAAAGCTCACCTTTAAAAGATTACACAACATACCCCAAAAAATATTTAAGCAAATGTCCAAGTGAGCATTAAAAATTATCGGAGTACCAAACCACAAATGTAGTAATTAGTGCTTCAAACAATCCAACTTAACCTACATTATCAAAATAAAACAACCAATAAAAAGTAAATCAAACACTTAAGCTAAAACCCATATCATTACAATCATTCAAGAACGTTCAGCTATATGAATCCTCTCAATCCATTCCACTTTATTCAGGCTATTAACAATCATTGAACTACCAAAGCATAACATTTAGCAGTTTCAAGATTCAAGTTACTCAACATTATCAAAATGAAACAACCAAAATAATCCACAAAAAAGAGGGCAGGTAGCATATTACCAAATTACGCTTATCAGGGAAGTACTCAGTCCCAGTCTGAGGCTTAGCAATCTTGGCTCGTTTAGCTCCGCGCTTAACATCTTTGCTAGGCTCTCCTTCTTTGTCATTGTTCTTAGGCTCTTCTTTCTGAACAGATTCGCTTTGCTCCGCAGCTGATTGGGTTTGGGTTTGGGCTTGGGCTTGGGCGGGCTCACCATTCTTGTTGGTCGTTTCCTCGGTGGTTGCGGTTTGTTCTTGGCTACTAGCCTTCTCCTCTTCCTTGGACTTGCCTTTTTTGCCTCCTACTTCTCTAGCCTTTCTCTTCGTACCTTTCCTCATTGTTTATCGATTTTAAGGGTTGGTTATTTGAATTGGAGGAGGAAGAGAGACAATGGCGGAAAATAGAGAGAGGCGCTGAGGTAATAAGGAGGCAATTTGCGTGAAGGGGGGTGGGTAGCGCGTAAATCCAACGCGACCAAGCTGTCTTTAGTGGGAGGGAGATTGAAAATTTTGGTTTCTTTTTACGCTATTTGGTTTCCCCCCTTCTCAAAACTACATACAAGTACTCAGATTCAGGTTCTTGTAATTAACCCTCTTAACGACGCCCTAAAACATAATTAAAGGGAATTAAGACAATTAACTTAACCCCTTGTTTGGATGGTTGTTACCCGTTAGTATCGTATCCTATCGTTATTATAATTACAATATTTGTTTTGATTGTTATCTAAAATCCGTTGTATTGTATTGTTAAATTCATTATTACGTAACAACAAAAAGAGCCATTTTACGTAACGACCGATTTGGTGTGGTCGGATCGTTACGTATTTTTCTTTCCAACTATACCCTTATTTATTACTTATTAATCCTACTTTACCCTTTTCCTTATTTTATTATTTTAACTCCAAGTCCAACCTAAACCTACTGTCTTCGTTTAGTCTCCCGTAAGAATTTGGTTAGATTTGCCGCTTTTGTTTCTTATGGTTCTTCTATTGTTCTACTTTTTTTATTGCTAATAATTGTTAACTTTTTTCCTTGATTAGGTTTATGGGCTTGTTTTCAAGATACAAAATACAGGTACTTTTCTCTCCTTTTTTTTTTTGGTTAGTTATCATGTGTTTCAGTTTTTGTTGTAACTATATCCGGCTGTTTGAGTAGTTCATCTCCTACTATGTTGAAACTATGTATGATTATTTTGAAGATTCTTATTTGCATGATGTAAATATTTGATGAGTAATATGATTTGCTAATATGATTCACCGAGTA